TTTGAAAACTATGAATTATTCTGTGAGACATATGTTAAAGTTAGATTCTTTTAGTGGATTGCCCTTAATGAGGGCAGTTATTGGTAGTAGTAGCAATAGTAATTCAGAAAAACTTAAATAAATTCTGAATTTTCATTTTGATTTGATATGTTTCAAAAGATTGTAGTTAGGTGGCTGGAGATGTAGCTCAGCTGGTAGAGTGCTTGCCTAGCAGGCACAAAGCCTTGAGTTCAACCCCACCACTGTATAAACTGGACATAGTGGCATGCATCTTTGATCTTAACACTCAGAGTATGGAGTCAGAAAGATCAAGAAGGGGTTCAAGGTCATTCTTGACTACACTGAAAGTTCAAGGTCAGCCTGGGATGCAAGAGACCCTGGAATTTATAAGTCAGGTCCCTCCTTTTCACCTAGGACATGAACTTACTTTCCACTATATTGGGGATTTTAATGTTTAACAAATACTGATGCTCTTCCTTATCCCAACTATAAAGACCTAGCATATATCGTTAAAGAACCAGTTAAATAAATATAACATTTATATAAAAGGGCTCTCCAGTCTCCTTTGAAACTAGGAATAAGTGAATTATTAAAATGCTTATATAAAATGATTTTTCATTTATTTTTGTATATGTGTGGTATGTGTGCATATGTGGAGTATGTGTACACGTGTATGGGTGGTTCAGTATATTTGTGTGTGGAGGCCCCAGGCCAATCCTGGGGTCATCCTCAGTCTCTCTTCACTTTATCCAGCAGGGTCACTCTCTCTCTATTTAATCTGGCACTCCCTGTTCCAACTAGTTAACTAGCCAGATTACTCTAGGAAAAGGAGCCCTTCTGCACTTTCCCACACCTGGACTTACAGACAGAATGCCACGCTCAGGACTTTTCTATGGGTTCTGGGGCTCCAGTGCAGTTTTCATGCCTACACAGCAAGCTCTTTGCCTGCTGTGCTCTCTCCCCAACTCCTATTCAATATAGTTTTTAATCATATGCTTATTTTTGTGTTAAAATGAGGCAACATATATAGAAATACCTCTCTAGAAAGCCTCCATGGAGGTATCAACATGGAGATATTTCAATTATGTTTGTAAATGTCTTTCAAAGTTTTATCATTTTGGAGTTGTTTGTTTTACTTAGAGGGAAGGAGAACAGAAGGATGATTGATAAAGCTGTAAGCTGGAAACAAGAGTTTTGGAATAAGATGGCCACCTATCTTGAACCATCCCTAACTGCTGTATGAGGAGATACAGCTCTTGCTTGTTCTACAGAATTTTTGATTCTTAACAATATTTGAAATTCAGCAATTCTTTGTGATCTTTGATTTCACATCAAAAAGAAAACATTTCTCTAAAAGCAAACCTTAAATCTACATAAGGTACTCACATTGAGAGATGGATGGATGGATAGATAGATAGATAGATAGATAGATAGATAGATAGATAGATAGATAGATAGATTGAAAGAATAGATACAGTTTATGGGCAGAAGCCCTAATACTTAAGAATTTGACAATTCTCATTTAAACTTAAAAGAGCCTTTAGTTGATGACATTGTAGTGAAAACGTTTAAAATGTTAAAAAACAATTTTCTAACGTAAGATTTAAGTAAGCTATTTGGTAACTAACAACAACTCAGCATTCCTCCATTAATGTGGAAACAAGCACAGTAAGTCAGAATTTATATCAGAAGTCAAAAATCTATAAAAATGGATATTTTTCACTAGTCAGTCATAGCCATCTTGAGTATCCATGGGGTGAAGTTCAAGGATATTACCTAAGAACCTGGAATTAGGTACAATAGTGATCATTAATAGTAATTAGTTATCAAAATGTCTGCTATATTCAAAGTTAATTCTTGGTACAACCAGATAAGATCTCACACCATTAATTTAGGATTTTCATAATCCTAAAAAAATATAAACCCCCCCTTCATACTTTGAATGAACTGAAACCCCCACCCCCCATTACACTGGCTGCTATGGCTCAGCGTTATCTGCCTGGGCTCTTAGTTACTGAATATTGGGATAGGTGTTGTACCTCTAGGAAAGTGATAACACTTGGTAGTTTGCTGGCAGCCAGGAGAAGGGTTTCTGTAGATAGCTGTGCAGTATTCAGCATTTACAATGCACCTGATTTTTCCTTGATACTATTTGTTCTGTTTCTTGGGGGGGAGGTGCTTTTATTTCATTGATTGGATGATATGAAAGATAATTGTTTTTAAATGCTTACTCTCTTGGGTGTCTAGGATTTAACATTTGGCCATAGGTTTATGTAATGTAAAACAGCTACCTGAAACCAGATACAGACTCAAACATTATTCTGCACATAGATGGACACTAACGTGCAGATCGCCTGTGGGTGTAACTTTCAGGGAATCCTTGTCAGTTGACTGAATATCAGCTATGAACAAAGTATAGAACATTAAACTTGAAGTTCCAGTCAAGACTCTTCTTCCTCTCTAGTTCTTGGGATGGCTTAGTAATTCCTAAATAAAAATGTAAAATATCAGGTTTTATATTCTTTTTTTTTAATATCCTGTCCTTCAGTACCAATACTGTTATGTTTGTGATAAAATGAACTATTAAAATATAATATGTAACTATTTATGGGAAATAATCCCTGATTTTTAAAAAGTTGTTAGATTTAACAGTTTGCCAAATTATTCTAAAGTTTTTCTGAACTCTATCTCTCCCAAACTTGAAACACTTCCTTCATGCCCAGTGACAGTCTTTGGAGGTTAGCATTGAGCTACCAATCTCCCTGTGACCCACACTGCTGCCCTGACCTTTCACCTTTTTCTTATCCTCACCTCATTAGGTGAGTGCAGGGTTGTTTCATCCAAGAACCGCCAGGGTGCCTTCTTTTCTCAGATGACTTTCAGGGATTCTACCATTGGAGGGATTCTCCAAAGCAATAGACAGACTCCAGAGAGATCCCTTCCAGTTGGACTGAGATAATAGCATTTACCCAGGACCACAGGTGTCAACAGCACCACCATCATTGGCTGGTGTGGAGCAGATAGGGGAACACAGGAGTCAGCAAAGCCTAAACTGAGTACTGATGAGAACCTGTTGCCTAAGCCAGCATTACCCAGATTCCTTTGTTGTATTAATTCTGTAGTAGTGAATGGGTCCTAGTTCTTAGAACATTAGGTGGGGTAAGGGAACAGTTTCTTAAATAGTTGACCAACACAAAATGGATTCCATGGTGTGTGTGTGTGTATTGTATGTACGTGTGTTCTTGTACATTTTTTGTGTTGTTTTGATATTTTTGTCCTACTGAGTTTTTGTTTGTTTGTGAGGTTTGGTTTTTGGTTTTTTTGTTTTGTTTTGTTTTTTTGAGAGAAAGAGAGACAATGAGAGAACATGAAGTTGGGTGGATAGGGAGGTGAGGACGATCTTTGAGGAGTTGGGGGAGGAGAAAGAACATGATCAAAATAAATTGTATTTAAAAAGATTAAGTGGATTGTAGAATGGTAGGCTCAGGCTGCACCAGTTGAGGCTTAAGTGCATTCCTGATACTCTAAAGTCAATTTGAATCTTTGTTGGGTTAGCATTTCCCAAGCTACCTATTTGGTCATAGAAACCCCTCTCCTTTTTAAAATGAATGTTTATGTAAACATCTCACAGAACACAATTAAAGCAATGGTGTACTAAGTCCTAACCCACAATGTGTTAATTAAAGAATGTGTGAGGTTTGCTTTCTTGGTGCTTAGCAGAGCCCAGGGTTAGGTGTGACCAGACAGACACTTGCCAAACAAGAAACCCTGTTCTATGCCCACTGCTTGGAATGAGCAGGGGCTCCATACACGGATATTGTAGGACTCCACCATTTGCTTGCTTTCAGAATATCAGGTTATTTACATTTCACATGTGTGTCTCTGTTCATTGTGAGTTTACACAGTGTCTTCTGTTACCATGCCTCACGTGGCATATGGTGATTCCCAACCTTGTAGATGTTAACTTTACCAAATTTATTTCATTCTTCCTCATATAGAAAATTATATACATAAAGGAAAATAAATTCAACTAAGTTTGTTTTTACTTACACTCAGAAGATAGAGGTAGATGGATTTTGTGACTTCAAGGCTAGGCTGGTCTTCTCACAGAGTTCCAAGCCAACCAGAGCTACCTACCGAGATCCTGTCTCAAAAACAGACAAAAAGCAAAACAAGGATACTCTTGACTAGCACAACCAGGGTTGGGATTCACTCAGCCATGTGGTCAGACCATTTACCCTCATTTTAATAATTAAAGTTGTTAGTAATATGGGATTGAATTATCTTGCTGAACCTATTTATGTCTGAATGAATATAAATCTTAGAAATTTGATAAATTCAACTTTAAATCTTAATGGTACTACTAACTTGCTTGACAAATTTAGCTCCATGTTCCATCTGCTCACTGTTAAAAAGATAACTTGGTAATGGTCATAGGTGGCAGCTTAGAGTTGTCCAACACAACTTAAAACCTTAAAAGGTAAATGAGTATGGAGTAGCTATGTGTTGGGTGTTTGTTCCTAGCACATAAGAAGCACTACTAAAGTTCTTACTATGTTGTTGTTCTCATTCTTACAACGTATATCCTGCCAGGTTGTTATTTCTAAGTCTGCAAGATAGTTTATACTCCACTGTTCTCAGTTGCTGGACATTTGTTCTTTAATCGTAATTGCAGGAACATTTTACCTAAGCAAAACTCCAAGATGAATTAGAGTTGTAGTTGACATGAGCCAACTTCACCATTGAAAATTATTAAGTGACAAAATAATAAACATTTGCAGACTTAAATACCTATCTACTCATCTTTATACCACTATTTAACTAAGTTTGTAATTAGAACACAAGGCTTTAAATGTTTAAATATATGATAGAACACCAAAGAGCTCTGTACATTCCATATTGTAGTGAAACATGTATGTTTGTATCAAATGCATGTTTTGATATCTTAATGGTTTTGTGCAGTCCAAATCTATGAGTAACTAACTTTCATTCTTTTGCAGCTTACTGAAGCACATTCAAGTGTCAAGTGCTTGGACTCCATGTGCTGTTTCCCAGGAGAGACCCCATGCACATCTGTTGGAAGAATGCTGGAGCGAGTCATAGGAAGGTGTAGTCCCAACCATATCAGCAGGTGTGACATTTTACTATGTAGCCTTTCCTGCAGATGAGTGTCCTGTAAAGGGACAAAAAGAACCTGCACTGCAGATACCAATGAGTCCACTGGTTTTACCCTGTGAAGAGGGAGCTTGCTGTTGATTTAACACTCTTATTGGCTTTTGGTATGGTCCTTTGACTCAAAAGAAGAGAAGGCATCTTTGAGGAGATTTTTCATCCAGTGAACAAAATGCTGGTTTTAGTCTTTCTAAGATACAGTAAATAGGAGTGTGTGTATGGTACTTTTCCCTGGTGTTCTACTTTATTCACTATTATTTTATGGATGTTCCTGTTTTATTCTCTGCTGTGTGTTTGGTTTTTGTTGTTTTTCCTACTGCTTTTTGTCATTACAAAAATAACTTCCACACTCAATGTCAAACATCTTTGCTTTCCTTATTACCTTTGTTCTCAAGGCTACCCAGGAAAGGCTGTTCTATTCCATGTTCCTTCCTAAGATTTCTGTAGTGAAGTTTTAAAATAAGTTTGGATTTGTAAGTTTCTTTTATTTGGCATTTATTGTCCAATTAAGTTTTTGTTAGAACATGTTTTAACAGTGCTTCTAATATTATCTTTGATAAATTCTGCATCAGAAGAATCTGGAGGGTTTTTTTTTTTCTGAAGTCTATTTCTTAATTATATTTATCACAGCTTTTTTTTATGGATTATAGCCCAAATTTCTTTTTTTTCCTCTTGTTTTTAATTAAACTAGAAACAAGATTATTTTACATGTCAATCCCAGTACCCTCTCCCTGCCCTCCTCTCCTGCCCCCCCCCCCAACTAACACCCTACCTATCCCATACCCTTTCTGGAGGGTTAGGCCTTCCATAGGGGGTCTTCAGAGTCTGTTGTATCCTTTGGGATAGGGCCTAGGCCCACCCCCGTGTGTCTAGGCCCAGGCAGTATCCCTCTATGTGGAATAGGCTCCCAAAGTACATTCCTATGCTAGGAATAAGTACTGATCTACTACAAGAGGCCCCATAGATTTCCGAGGTCTCCTCACTGACACCCACGTTCATGGGGTCTGGATCAGTCCCATGCCCAGCCAGCAGTTGGGGGACAAAGAGCTCCTCCTTGTTCGGGTCAGAAGTTTCTGTGGGTTTCACCAGCCTTGTCTTGAGCCCTTTGCTCATCACTCATCCTTCTCTGCAACTGGATTCCAGTTCAGTTCAGTGGGTGTCTGCTTCTACTTCCATCAGCTGC